CATTTCTTGCTTGCTATCCCAAGCCCTCACTATTCTGCCCAGGTCTGCCTCTACTCTGCCTTTGCAGTCAAGGAAGTGACCAGTCTCTGGGATCAACTTCAATTTCTTGGATTATAGATCTTACCCAACTCTTTCAGTGAGATGTTGTAACAAGTCTGATAAAAAAGCAAGACCATTGATCAGACTGGTTCATACCACTTAAAAATCAAGAAAAAATCAATCAGAGAATTCATTTCCCTTTCCATATACCTAAGTCCCCATTATTGCCTTTGCATATAATGGTATCTGCTGGAGGTACAATAGGTAAGGGACAAATGTAAGTACTCAGAATTACAAGAAGTTTCTTCTTCACTAATATAGGGTTCAGCTCCGTGGTTATAACACAAAATTCTAGAGACACATAAAACCTCAAAGATAATTTCAAAAGTCACAGAAGGCCATTACATTCTTAATTCATTTGTTCATAATCAGGCAAATTGTTATTTATGTTATTACAGCATTCTTTTGCCAGAGGCACAAACATAATCACATCTACAATTTAGCATGAATTTATTTTAGTTATTTTTTTTTTATGGCATATAGTTCTCAAACTGGGATACTTGTATCACACACACACACAAAAAAGGTGCAAACTGTAGCAAGCCAGAGGGTATATGAGCCCAAACAGCAAATCTGAGGGATTTTTCTAGGATGTCAATTTTAATTAAGATTTGAGCCGAAACCGGTTTGGCTCAGTGGATAGAGCGTCGGCCTGCGGACTGAAAGGTCCCAGGTTCGATTCCGGTAAGGGCATGTACCTGGGTTGCGGGCACATCCCCAGTAGGAGATGTGCAGGAGGCAGCTGATCGATGTTTCTAACTCTCTATCTCTCTCCCTTCCTCTCTGTAAAAAATCAATAAAATATATTTTTAAAAAAAAAGATTTGAAAGAAGGGGAATAAGGGAAACGTTTACTAATATAACTGATGACGAATGTAAATAATGGTTTTACACTAAAGCAAACATAGACTATGATGCCCAAACTTCATTAATTTTAATGATAAAATACTAACTGAAAAGAAAGTTCCTATTTTGGAGAGCTAGGTCTTCTCTCCCTACAAGGGAATGTTGGCAGTGTTAAGAATCTAAGAATAAGTCGTATCTTTTTTAAAAAGTATATTTGAAAGATTTGCTATTTATCAGTGTAAGGACATATTTCTCATGTAAGATCTTGGGGAAATGAGGTTGATTTCCATTTAGATTGTTTCAATTTGAAGCAAATTCTTTTAAGAACAGAATGTTCCATGTTGAATGTCTTGAATTTTAATAAATAACTTAACAACAATGCAAGGACAAATTTACTTCACAAATATAATCACTGGACAAAATTTTGAATTGTCTAAGGAAATACTTTACGAAAAAGTTAAAATGTCAGAGAACAGAGTGAGACTGCTGTAATCAGTTTATATGCTGTAGTCCTTCCACTAATCTCATTCAGAAACTATCATCATCACCATATCTAATAAAACAGAAACATGGTAATTGGCGTATTACTGCTACCCTTCGCACTGGCTAATCAGCGAGATATGCAAATTAACTGACAGCCAAGATGGCGGCCGGTGGCCAGGCAGCTAGAAACTAGCATGAGGCTTGCTTGCTTCAGTGATGGAGGAAGCCAAAGCTTCCCTGCCTGCTTTGCCGGCCTCTCAGCTGCACTTAAGCAACTATGTTACAAAAATAGAAGCTAAACAAAACCCTGGGCTTCAGCCAGCAGGACCGCAACATTGTTTCAAATACAGAAGGGTAAACAAAGGCCAGAAACCTGCTTTCAGCAGTGGAAGTCTCATAGCTGGAGCCGAGCCTCAGAGCTAAAGCTGGCCCAGAATGAAAAAAAAAAGGAAAAAGGACAGGTTGGTAGCTTCAGTCACCCATAAGCCTGAAAACGGCCCTCAGCCCCTCATCCAGGCTGGCCAGGCACCCCAGTGGGGACCCCCACCAGGTGAGTGACAGGGGGGAGCTCCTCATCCCCCTGATCGGCCCTGCTCTGTGGGTGATAGAGGGCGGCGCCCCAACCCCGTGATCCGCCCTGCTCTGTGTGTGACAGGGGGCGGTACCCCAACTCCCCTATCGGCCCTGCTCTGAGCCCGACCAGGGGCTGCACCTAAGGATTGGGCCTGCCCTCTGCCACCTGGGAGCTGGCCTAAGCCAGCAGGTCGTTATCTCCCGAGGGGTCGCAGACTGCGAGAGGGCACAGGCCGGGCTGAGGGACCCCCTCTCCCCACTGAGTGCACAAATTTTTGTGCACCGGGACTCTAGTGCATATATAATCAATTTCAGAACAAATTTCTTATTTTACATACTGAGAGCTTTAGAAAATCTAAAGTGATTTACTGTAGTACTTTCCATTGATAATCCCAACCTCAAGCATCACTACTCAAGAAGAAAATACAGAGAAGATAATCTCAGAAAGAAGGGGAATTGAGGTCAATGTTTAGTTTTTTTAGACAGAAATCCAGATACTTACAAGGCATCACATGATATATGCTTGGCCAATATTGTCCACTATCTCTCTTTAACCATACACGAACTGTCCTGCAACAAAAGAAAATGTGTTTCAAAATAAATATTTTTAGTCATAGGAAAATTTTGATAGAAACCAAACCTGTTAATTATACACACATAGACATATTATATATGAAACATATCTTAACTATACATAATATATACCTTAACTATATAAAATATATATATACACATATATGCATATACACCACATGCCTCTCTAAAGATCCTACATTTAAGGCTTGTATACACCAAGAATTATATATGACTCTTGAACTATCCCCATATATGTCTATATGAGCACATGTAATGGTGATAATGAAAATTATTATTTTTGTTGTTGTTTTGCCTCTCCATGTTTATGATTTTTCCCCCTAGTCTGCTGGAAACATTCATGTGCCTGGGAGATACTAGGTTTTACTACTGAAAGAAATGCAAGGAGATAAAATGAAGCAATATGCAGTATCTGACACAGAGAAGGATTACATAGTAAATCCATAGTCTTACCGGCCAGGCCAGGTCAGGCCAGGCCAGGCCACTGTCTTGAGAGATAGTTCTTCCAAGCATGGTCTGGCAATCATAAGCTCTGAGAATCACATTTCCTGAGCTAAAGGGCCAGTTATTGGGCCCACCATGAAACAATGAAATCCCATAGCAAAGACTATGAGTGACATTCCAGGCCAGCTGGCCAGATAGAGCTCAGAGAGGAGGAGCAAAAGAAAGAAAGAAGTAGTCAAGAGTGGGCCATTGGGCTCTGACCAGTGGCCCCACCACGAGTTACATGAGCCATGACATCATATGCATAAGTTGGCAAGGCAAACACAACTAAGAGGTAATGGGACAGTGCTCCATAGGTCACAGAAAGTAGCAGACATCAAAGAAAATGAGCAGTTCCCCACTGCTAGTAGATTATATATGTTACACCTACACTCCATACTCTTAAATCATCCAGGATAAAAATAAGACAAAGAAAGAACATATTTTCCTCAGAGAATTGAACACTACCTAAACAAACTACTTAAGTCTTCATACTACATAGACTAAGTTTTAAATACTTTGGATTTTTTCCCAATTAAACAGTAGGTCCCAAAAGAAATATTAGGAAAAAGACTAGATTGACTACAGACAAAATAAATGTCATTATTTCTGCATGAACACAAGATATAGTGTAGTGATATATAGTAACAATACAGATACTTACAAAATCCCATCCTTCTGGTCAACTATCCTAATTTGTGAGAAGGACTGGCATAATGGTAAAAAATTTGTAATAAGTTATTTGATACATATACTCTTTATACACATATCAGACCTCATTTAAATTGTTTTTATAATATATGCCATTACATTTTAATATGTAGATTCCCTCAACAAGAATGAACGCAGGAGTAACATCATAAATATGGCACAGTGGGGAGCTCCAGGAATCAGACCCTACACCAAATCAACTGTTGAGCTGGCAAGAACTGTCAGAATCACTATTTTAAAACTCTAAAGTCTAGCCTGGCTGGCATGACTCAGTAGTTAAGCTTCGACCTATGAACCAGGAGGTCATGCTTTGATTCCTGGTCAGGGCACATGTCTGGGTTGCAGGTTCAATCCCAGTGTGGGGCATGAAGGAGCCAGCCAATTGTGATTCTCTCTAATCATTGATGTTTCTGTCTCTCTCCCCCCTCTCCCTTCCTCTCTAAAATCAATAAAAATATATTTAAGAACAAAACAAACAAAAAACTCTAAAGTCTAGTTACATACTAGGACACAAGGGAATGCTTGATGAAGTAAAAAGCTGGTATGTCAGTGAATTTCATGTTTTGCTAGCAGCTACCATCATGAATGCAATATTCCTGTAGCAGGCAATTGTGGGGACAGTGGCCCATGTTCAGAGTGGTTTGCTGATACCAAGGTGGGAACCCTGCCCTCACAAAATTTGGGGATGTGTGTTGTGATTTGCTAGCAGTTCACTGAAAGACTAGAGAAGAGACTGGCCATTGTTTGAATCCAGAAGGGCTGAAGGGCCCCAGGGAATGTCTGTCAAAAGAATTTAAATCAGTGGCTCTCAACCTTCCTAATGCCCTGACCCTTTAATATAGTTCTCCATGTTGTGGTGACCTCCAATTTCATTGTTACAAATTGAACATAATTAAAGCATAGTGATTAATCACAAAAACAATATGTAATTATATATGTGTTTACCGATGGTCTTAGGCGACCCCTGTGAAAGGGTCGTTCAACCCTTTTTAAATTTTAAATGGAGAGAAAACCTTTCTTTCCTTTATGAAATCCAGGTATTAAAAGAAATCAACCCTAGCCAGTTTGGTTCAATGGATAGAGCAAAGGGTCCTGGGTTGGATTCCGGTCAAGGGCACCTACCGTGGTTGCAGGCTCCTCCCTGGCCTAGGCCCTGGTTGGGGCTTGTGCAGGAGGCAGCCAATCAATGTGTTTCTCTCACATAGATATTTCTCTCTGTCTTTCCCTCTCTCTTCCACGCTCCCTAAAAATCAATGGAAAAATATCCTCAGGTGAGGATTAACAACAACAGCATATCCTATATAATAAAAGCCTAATATGCTAAGTGTCCAGATGACCGGTTGTCCATTCAACCAATCAAAGCGTAATATGCTAAAGATATGCTAAGGCCTCTCAACCACTGGCTATGATATGCACTGACCAACAGGAGACAGACAGTGGACCACTCGACCAGTTGATATGACATGCATTGACCACCAGGGGGCAGATGCTCTGACCGGTAGACTAGCTTGCTGCTGGGGTCCAGCCAATTGTGACTGAGCGAGATGGACTAGACACGCCTTGGAGCCCTCCCAGGGTCCCTCCCCTGCTGGCCAATCTCCTGCATCTCTCCCTGACACCAATCATGCACCGGAGGGGTCTCTCAGCCTAGCCTGCATCCTCTCTCACTCCAGGACCCCTTGGGGGATGTCAGAGAGCCGGTTTCAGCTCGATCCCACAGAGGGAGCACTGCTCAGCAAGAAGCCGGGCTCATGGCTGGCAAGCGCAGCGGTGGTGGCAGGAGCCTCTCCCATCCCCAAGGCAGCGCTAGGGGGAGCGGGCCTAAGCCATCAGTTAGACATCCCCAGAGGGCTCACAGACTGGAAGAGGGCACAGGCCAGGCTGAGGACGCCCTATCCCCCGAATGCAGGAATTTCATGCACCAGGCCTCTAGTTTGACTATAAACCACCCAGACATAACAGACATAGAGAACACTCTACCCAATGAAAGCAGAACACACTTTTTTCTGAAGTGCACATGCAGCGTTCTCCAAAACAGGCCATATGTTAAGTCATAAAACAATTCTCAATATACTTCAAAATAATGAAATTATACAAAATATCCTCTCCAACCATAAATAAATGAAACATTATAATCAATGAGGGAAACTGGAAAAATCACAAATATGTAGAAATTAAACATCATAACCTTAAACAACTAATGAACAAAAGAGGACTCATTAGGAAAACTAGAACAGACTTTGAGATAAAAGAAAATAAAAACACAACAACTATATATATAAAAGCCTAAGCGACTGTTCTACTGTTCTACTGGTAACTATGACATGAACTGACCAGCAGGGTCAGTAGGTTAGCTTGCTGCTGGGGTCCGGCCGATCAGGGCCAGATGGGCAAGACACACCATGGAGCCCTCCTGCAGCCCCTCCCTAGCCCCAATCGTACACCGGTAGGGTCCCTTGGTCTGGCCTACTCCCTCTGGCAATCCGGGACCCCTTGGATGATGTCCACAGACCAGGCCCAGGGACACCACTGGTGCATGAATTCATGCACTAGGCCTCTAGTGTGTGTGTGTGTATGTGTGTGTGTGTGTGTGTGTGTGTGTGTGTACACACACACATACTAGACGCCCGG